TGGGTGTCATTTTCCAGTATATTTTCTCTTTGCAATCTTTTTTTTTCTATGTGCTATTTTCAATAATCTACCCTTGACTCTAGAATTTACTCTTTACTCAAACAAAAAACAACACAAAAAAAACTACACAAGTTTATATAGATCTGGAGTTAAGAGGCACTTAGGAGCTGGGATGAGTTCATGAAAGTACCTGTTCTTGACGCTCAAGCCATCGGTCCACCATGGGATGGTTGGCACTGAGGGAAGAACGGGCATTTTCCCTCTGAAACTGGATAGCCCAGGGGACAACATTACGAGGCAGGTTGCGGTACGCTTCCAGAGCCTTACCCTGGAAAACACAATGAAGGTGATGAAAGAGGATGTTTACACCTGGTATTAAAGGGTCTGTTGACAAAAATGTAAATTCTGTAAATACTCATTCCAAAACTTTTACTTTCTTCAACATAGGCTCATTGTAAAAATATGCCTCTACCTACATTTTGGCAGAACAATTCACTACATTTCCCAGTTGAAATGAACACCAGTGGCAGGAAAACAGCAACAACTTTAATTCCTATGCAAATTATGATAAATGGGGCAGATTATTTTCACATGGTTCCCTGCACAATACTATGGTATGACCTAAAACACTTTTACCATGGTGCATGATTTGTAAACAAATACATGTTCATGTTCACGTTCACGTTTACATTTTCACATAATAAGCTCCATATATGTGGCTTCTGTGACATGCCGATATTTTTCAAATCATTTTGGCCAATGCCGATCCCGATACCGATAATAATTTCCCTTTGTTTTGAAACACCAAGTCTCTCCTGGAAATTATAAACAAATTATTTTTTATTTTGTTTAGCTTTGAGCAAAAACTTATTTGTTAGAACTAATAAACATTATTAAAGTTCTTTTTTAATGAGAGTACATTGAAAGCCTTGAAAATAACTATAATAAAATCAATCTCTGCTGATTTTTTTTTTGGACAGATGCAATTGAAACCTTAATATTTTATTTGTGGATTTAACATTAATAGATGGCCTAAAGCAAAAGAGTTGTAAAAATTCTAAAAATTAAAAATTAAAAAAAAGAATAAATCTGTATATATTGAATTATTTAATTTACAAGTGTCATGTTTGTGATTTTTATTCAATGTAAGCTATAGCATCTGACCTATAAATCAAAACAGACGTGATTTTTTTTTTACATCAATTACTGCTTTATTTATTCAGAAACACATGTATCTTAATGATATTTGTGTATTTTACCTTCATTTTATTACAAGTAGGCCAACAGCGCCCCCGAAGTGAATAAAATGCCTTACTGGATGGGCATTAGGACCCGGGGGAGGCTTCCGCTGCTACACCAGATGCGGCATTCTGTACTTGCATTCTCAAATTAAATGTGGCGATCCAAAACAGTGATTCTAATCATCAAAAAGTTTGCTTCAAGAATGACCACTCTGCTGACATGATCTTATCGCTAGCACACCCTGAGCACATGTGAGCTACTCATCTTATCAGCGAGGCATATCGGCATCATTTTTTTTTTCAAATCCGATAACATTCAGATAATATAGTGCATCCCTAAAAATTGTTCGGGAGCCCACCTGATACAGTATCACACTTACAATGTGGAGTGCTCAGATACGGGTCCTGTGAAACATGAATCAGTAGAAGCAAGATAAAATGGAATCGTAACAAATGTGAATGTGCAAATGTGTTTTATATCACAATTGCTTTTGTTAACATTTATTGGACATTTCATTTCCGAAATGCTGCGATATGTACAGTACAACAACCAAAAAAAAACAAAAAAACATTGCCACTTTCACGTTCCTGGGAAAACCGAACATGCTTTTAGCACCACCCACTAGACATTTCATTTTAAAAGTGCCTTAAAACATGCAAGAAGCAACTTATAACAATATAATTTTTCAGAAATGTCACCAGAAGTAAATTTTTTTCCCAATGAGCCTGGGTTGACTTATGTTTTTCCTGAGGAACACAAAAGAAACACATTGTGGTCCAGACAATATTGGCCCCAATAGACTTTCATTATATGGGCAAAACGAAACATTTTTTTTTTTAACAAGAAATTACTTTAGCAATTAAAAAAGCTTAGCTATTACACAAATTGGGTTTTAATAACATGGATACCAATTTACTTAAATATGTAGTGTCAAATACATAATACCTTACTGAAACTGTTCTCCAGATCAGAGTCACTGTGCGTACAAGGGAAGCACATCTTGGATCTGAGCCCCGCAATGATATCATTCAGGCCATCTAAATTTGGAGGGCACGCTAACTTCATTTCTCACTAATAAGGAGCTCTATTACAAGCTACTAATTCACACCGTGTTTCTAATCTTACGCTGCATGTTTTCAGAGAGGTGAAAGCAAACGCCCTCTAGCAATGGAGTCCAATTCAAATCTCCATTTGAAGAGTTTTTAGAGCAAGCCTAAAACAGGTTGTCCTATGACACAGGGGGCCTTAGCCTAGAAAGCCTACTGAGCACCATTGCTCTTGGCTAAAGACCTAGTCTGAGCAATAAGGAAGAAGAAAAAGAGTTTCCAGTTATAGCATGAGCCAATTCACAATTGGACACCAGACAAAAGTGATCCCATACAGTGTTGGAACATGAAGTGATTTCCTGCATGGTAAAATGATCTATATAGGTAATTCTGACATTAAACAGCTGGACAAAAAAAGAGGAAGAGACACAGCGAGGAACATGAAGACCAAGAGGTCAAAGGCCCATAGGATGGGTGAAGAATTTATATGGTCGGCCTTATGAATCAAGACTTCATGTGGAGCATGTTGTAGTGATTGAGATGCTGGTCTACCTCAGCAAAGCCTCCAAATGCAGCAGGAGGCCTACAGGTTTCTTAAAGTTCAGGAAGAGATCCTGAGAGACAGATGTTACGCTCCATATGAGAAAATGTCCAAACAATGCTTTGTAAAAACATGGAACAGGCCACATGATCTCCAATATGGAGGATCTAACCTCAATGGTAGTTCTGTACACTTAAATTTGTTTACATTCCTGCAAAAGATCATCCAAGTGGATGCTGCACACTGGTGATGGTTGAGGAGAGACCCCCCATATGATTGTAAAGCGCTTTGGGTGTACAACAATACACAATAAAGCGCTATATAAATGCATCATTCATTCATTCATTCAAATTTCATTCTAGGGGTCAATGACATTAATAAATTTACTTTGATCAAATTAATTTACTATCAGATGATTTGCCTTTTTATTACATGGCACGGTTAGTTCAGGTTGGTAAATGTCATGTAGTCCAAGCTTCAAAAACATTAATAATACATGATTGTAAAAATAAATAACCTAATCTTGATTTTTTTTTTAATGATTAAGATGTGTGCACTCAAAAGTAATAAAGGTGTAAGGAAATTATTAATTTAAATTTTACTTTGATTGTTACACCACATGATATTTAAACTGAAACTTTTTGAAACCAACATGAATAAAGGGTAAATTTATATGAACTTGGCTAAAGCATTTTAAATAACACATATATATATATATTTTTTTGTTTCATTGACCCTCAGACCAGTAAGTCTTGACTAAATTATTTTTTTAATTATGAGATTCAAAAGTTAAAATATATCCAGGAAAAGCCACAGAGTTTTGGAGAATTAAAGTTTTCTACATATATAAGCCCGAAGGCAAAATGCAGAAATAATACTTTTCACCTCAGTGCCTGCTATTCTTACTTCAAGGTGAACTAACACATTTATGTTCATTTCACCAATTCACTGGTACTAAAATAGAGCGCATTTATATTCATCCCGTCGCTTATCGTCATCTGACAGTATCAACCAAAAACAGACCTACCAAGCACCTCAAGCTTTTCTCATGACATCCCAAAAACAACAATCAAGAAATAAATGATCCGGTGTAGAACGAAAGGTAAAAATAACAGCTTAATTCTTCTGCTCTGCTAAAATGAGAGTGTGGTGTTTGGATTATGGAAGAAACTGACAAGCAAAGTGCTTTTAAACAGGATTACTAGTGAACGCCGTGAGATGAGCTAATCTCATCGCGGGTTGTGGTGTCACATTCTGAGTACTCCATTTTTTCTCACTCCCTCCCCTTTCTCCCTCTTTTAATTTGGAATATTGCTGTTTCGAAGCACTGAAGGCTTGTCGTTCCTCCAAAAGAGCAGCCATTTTGCAAAGATAATTGGCCTCTTTTTCATTGGCTGCCCCAGGGAAGCTAGGGAGAAAAACAGAGAATGTGGCTCTTTTTGATTCATTTAAAGCCAAAGGCATTGACCATCGCAATGAGGCCCAAATCAACAGGGAAGCAACAAACAAAGGACACAGATCCCATTCTTCTAACAGCGAAGACATATGGTTCCATAACCAAGAGAGTTATAGGTCAACAACAAACAGTGGCAACAGCCAATGAGAGAATCTCAAGATGAATGAGATGGAGCAAAGGGAAGTCACTTCTTACAATTTGCCCTAAAAATGTTCCAATTGGTGCTTCGGTTTGTGAAAACGTAGTGGAAAAATACCATCCTTATATGAATATCCAAAACTAAAGATAAGCAATCAAAGAAATGGGTGGATGGATAGATAGATAGATTGAACAAAGGGTGGATGGATGGACAGATGTATAAGTAGAGCAATGGATGGATGGATGGATGGGTAGAACGATGAATGGATGGACGGACAGACGGATGGATGAATAAGTAGAATGATGGATGGATGGACGGACAGACAGATGGATGTATAAGTAGAATGATGAATGGATGGATGGTTGGATGGATGGATGGATGGATGGACGGACAGACAGATGGATCAATAAGTAGAATGATGGATGGATGGATGGTTGGATGGATGGATGGATGGACGGACAAACAGATGGATGTATAAGCAGAATGATAGATGGATGGTTGGATGGATGGACGGATGGACAGACAGATGGATGTATAAGTAGAAGGATGGATGGATGGATGGATGGACGGACAGACAGATGGATGAATAAGTAGAATGATGGATGGATGGATGGTTGGATGGATGGATGGATGGACGGACAGACAGATGGATGTATAAGCAGAATGATGGATGGATGGTTGGATGGATGGACGGATGGACAGACAGATGGATGAATAAGTAGAAGGATGGATGGATGGATGGACAGACAGATGGATGTTTAAATAGAATGATGGATGGATGGATGGATGGATGGATGGATGGATGGATGGATGGTTGGATGGATGGACGGACGGATGGTTGGATGGATGGATAGATGGACGGACGGACAGACAGATGGATGTATAAGTAGAATGTTGGATGGATGGATGGATGGATGGATGGAGGGAAGGACAGACAGATGTATAAGTAGAATGATGGATGGACGGACGGACAGACAGATGGATGTATAAGTAGAATGATGTATGTATGGATGGATGGATGGACGGATGGATGGACAGACAGATGGATGGATGTATAAGTAGAATGATGAATGGATGGGTGGGTGGATTGGTGGATGGATGGATGGATGGACAGACAGACGGACAGACAGATGGATGTATAAGTAGAACGACGGATTGATGGATGAATGGACGGACGGATGGACATACAGACAGACGGACAGACAGATGGATGTATAAGTAGAACGATGGATGGATGGATGGATGGATGGATGAATAGGTAGAACAATGGATGGATGGATGAACGGACAGACGGATGAATAAGTAGAACGATGGATGGATGATAGTAAATGATGGATGGATGGACGAATGAACGGACAGAAAGATGGATGGATAGCAGAATGATGGATGGACAGATGGACAGACAGATGGATGTATAAGTAGAACAATGGATGGATGGATTGATGAACAGACAGATGGATGTATAAGTAGAACGATGGATGGATGGATGGATGGATGGATGGATGGATGAACGGACGGAAAAACAGACAGATGGATGTATAAGTAGAACGATGGATAGATGGATGGATGGATGTATGGATGGATGGATGGACAGATGGACAGAGAGATGGATGTATAAGTAGAACAATGGATTGATGGATGGACTAATGGATACACAGATGGATGGACTGATGAACAGACAGATGGATGTATAAGTAGAACAATGGATGGATGGATGAACGGACAGACAGATGGATGAATAAGTAGAACAATGGATGGATGGATGGATGGATGGACGGACAGACAGATGGATGTATAAGTAGAACAATGGATGGATGGATGGACTGATGGATAGACAGATGGATGGACTGATGAACAGACAGATGGATGTATAAGTAGAACAATGGATGGATGGATGAACGGACAGACAGATGGATGAATAAGCAGAACGATGGATGGATGGATAGTAAAATGATGGATGGATGGGTAGAATGAAGGATGGATGGATGGATGAACAGACAGACAGATAGATGTATAAATTGAGCAATGGATGGATGGATAGTAGAATGATGGATGGATGGATGGATGGACGGACAGACAGATGGATGTATAAGTAGAACCATGGATGGATGGATGGATAGATAGGTAGATGGAACGAAGGATGGATGGACGGACGGATGTATAAATAGAGCAATGGATGGATGGATAGTTAGAACGATGGATGGGTGGGTGGGTGTATGGATGGATAGATATTATTTTGTGTGTGTGTGTGTAAAAATAAAAATTGTAAAAAACATCTGAATGATACTGAGAACTGACCTTTCTCTCTAGGCTGTTGGTTCCGCCGGTGTTATTGGCTTTTAGAAACCCTGCTGTGGTGGACCAGCGTGTGGGGTTCTTCCGAGATGGTTCCTCTGGCCGGAGCTGGGCTTCGGGCAGACCAACCAGAGCCGGATCACTGCTGCGGCGTACATGCAAAGGCATGTCTGAAACAGAGAGATGAAAGAGATCTTGTTAACAGCATATTTTCTCACTCCAAAAACTGGAGTTTCTTTATTACAGTACAGTAAGACATCCTTCTCACATAGCCACAGATAACAAACACAGCACACAGCTCAGTTTCCTCGATTTCCTACAGAAAGGCCCTTTTCAGCCCCACAAAAGTGTGACAGGGACACAGTACATTCCTCTCTGACACAAAGCCAGTTCCTATGAGTCTTGCAAAGAAAGGCGGTGGCAACAGGACCATTTAGCTAGGCTTGTTCTGTAACAAGCACACACCGCACACGCTTTAGAAAGAGATGGGAGAGGAGAGCCAGAGGTGTCCCTGTGCTGCTGTGCTGTAATGGGTTTGAACCGCAGGGCAGGTAGGGGGGGATTAGTCAGATACCAGTTCACATTTCCTGTCTCACACAGCTCAGATAGCCAGTCTGGATTCAAGGGTTCTGTGCTTGTGGTCGTCTACAGAATAGACTTAGTTTCACAACTTTTTATACTTTTTGGTAACACTTTCTATTATGCATCTATATATAAAGCATTATATATTTAAAATTCCAAATAATAATTAATCTGAGTAACTGTTACCACAAAATGGTACTTGCCTATGTATATGTAAAAAAGAACATACAGTAGGGATGCACAATGAATCATTTTTATTGTGATCACGATTTTTGCTTCTCTTGATTTATTAAGCATAATCACCTGCTTAAATTTTCTTAAATTGATGCATTTCTGCCCAGTGGTTTACTTAATCTTCCCAAATTGGAAACCATGCACACATGCTCTCTCTACATTATAGAAAAATGTAATACAGCCAGTCTGTTTTCTTTCATGAAGGTTGTTGCACCTACATCTATGTAAAACCAAAGACTATAGAATACCCAAGACGTGTCACTCGTATAGTTTTGAATGGGGAAAAATGCAACACTCAATATAGCCGCTCTATCGAATGAAGCCCCGCCTTCTGAGCAAAAGAGCCAATCGCTAATCAGTAAAGTCAGCGCGTCACTGCAGCTGCCGTTAGAAGTCCCGGTTGCTATAGAAACACAACGCTCTGAGACATGCGGTTGGGACTGCGCATGCGCACTGGCTGATCTAGCCTGAAAAATAAGCTTGTTTTAACGCTATTTAAGCAACATAAACAACATTTATGATACAGTTGTTGTCAGATTTCATTGGTGATTTCAAATATGAAATTTAATCGAAAGCTTAGTGAACAGTTTTGGAGAATTTGATGTTTCTCCATTCAAAGAGATAGGAGCTGCACTTGCATGCTCGAGAGGCGTTTCAAAGATGGCAGCTGAGTGACATGACTTGCCTTAAAGGGACTTTGGTAAAACTGAGTGTAAACCACTTACATTTGCCACAGATTCAGGATCTGCTGTTGCTAGTTCAAAAGATGTGTTCAGGCCTCTGTTACTAATTCGCAAACTGCATGTTTAGAACTAGCTTTAGAACTAGCAGCTTGGGCCATTTTCGAGAAGTTATTGAAGTAGCAAGGAGGCAGGATGATTGAGCAAAGCTGTTTTAATATTGAGTAACTTGTATTTTAGACACAATATTGCAAGTTAATTTATCTGTTGTTGCTCCACCAATGAAAGTAGTTGAAAAGAAAGATACAGCACAACTGCTGCAACACACTGTAATGACATTCCTGAATAAATTTTGAATGAATCAGTTAAATGATTGATTCAATGACTCATTGGGTGCTTCTCAATCCTCGTAAGGCTGCACACCTCGGCTGCTATCTTGTCACGCACCATCGAAGGCCATCTCAATTTGAAAGATCTTTGGAAGAAAGCCTTTGTTTCGCATCCTTCATTCAGTATATTTCACATGATGCATCAAGTGTATCCTTCACATCCTTCAATCACCCACAATCCTTTGCACACATTTAAAATTACAAAAAATGAGTTGCGTTTCTAGCGTTTAGCCTAGAAACTTTAGAGGACTGGTCTAGATAGGACACAACCTTGCTATGATGCAACCTTCCATTTGAGAATCACCCATTTGTTTTGTTCCTGAATGAATCAGCGTTTATGAGCGAGTCAACCAAACGAATGATTTAAATGACTCACTCGTTTGTTTCGTTACTAAATGAGTCAGTCTTTTTGAACAAACCGAGAAACATTTTTCCATTCCACTGTGCTACTTTTTCTTTTTCTTTTTTCTAGGTAAACACAAACAAATCAGTCGATCAAATGACTCGCTCACAAAGACGCTCGCTTGTTGCCACCTACTGGCGTAACAATGTAACCTGCAGAAGTCAGTGAACATACAAGAGTGATACACTTTGTTGGACTCTCAGCACTCTTGGAACATTTGAAACATTTTATACTGCATTAGGGGAACAGAAAACTCTGTCGCCCTCATGTAATTTCAAACCTATTTCTTGATTTACTTTCTTCTGTGGAACACAAAAGAATATCCTAGCCACACTTGTCAATATAATGAGAGTACAGTAAGTAAATCTATTTTTAAAGGTCAACTATCCCTTTAAGAATACCTTCATAATACATTATGTATGTTTCATAGAAAGTGCTGCATTTTATGAACATCACACAAAATATTAAACAAGTTCAGAGTAAATTAGCAGCAGTCAGTGGCATATTAGACCTGAGGGAAAAAATAAACACCCCCAGGAAACCTGTTCCCTGTCAGAGCTCTTTTTTTCCCTTGTTAGGTTCTGTACCGTGAGTTAGCTATAGCCAGCGTGAAAGTAAAGTGTTCACATGTCATCTGCAGGAGCGTCTGAGTGTCGACAGGCAGATTTACTGTTAGTGTCTTGCCACCTGGCAGAAGCTCTGAGCGCCCTGGCTGTTGAATTTTCTCAGCTCTCTGGTCTCCGGTTTATGACTTGGTAGGGGTGAATGTGGTACATCCATAATTATGCAAATATCCCAGCAACCACCTGTTATCCCTCGACAACGTCCTGCGGCAGCATATGCCCATACTGCGGCTTCCATCTGATACCATGCGCATGCATATGCAGCTCACAGGAAGTCCCACTTTTACAGATGTAGATGTTTCGGTCAGGCCACAACTCACCACATGCAGTCTCAATGAAAACAGAACCATGAAATCCAAATAGCCTGAGGCCATACAAAAACACTCTGCAGACCAAGGGAGGCCCTATTATTCAATTATGAACTGAACTCAATAATGATTTTAAATACACTTCCTTTTGTCAGTGGTCAGTTCAAATTCGGTTCATGGCTCTAACGATGAGGCCCCTCAGTCAAAGCGTAACTGTATAACTCTAACCTATGTCTGGGATTACATTCAATAATTAGCTTAAGGCCAAGATGGCTCAAAATGCACAGATATGTGTCTCAAGAAAAAAAAATAAAAAAAATTAAAGATCAAATGACATCCAAATACATTGTCTCTGCCTCTATAAAATTACATTACATTACTAACGTCAAATAAGCAATAACAAGAAGTGACATGTGGATTGCAGATAATGGGAGCGGGAACTAATGGGGCTTTCAGAGAACCAAGAAACTAAATCAAAAACGATGTTTTATTGAATGCGACACAGTTGCTGAACTCAGCCAGATTGCATCTGATCAGTAACGTCAAGAATCTGTGCAGACGTACAAGGAAAGCCAAAAGATGTCCGTGGAACCTATTACAGAGAAGGTCAGGAAATGGTGGGAAACGCTCCAATCTTGAACAAATATTTTAAATCATGTTGAGGATGAGGCCTGACCGAATCCATGTGGAACTTCTCAAGAAACCTCATATTTTTTCAGTCAAATATTTGGTTCATTTTCTTTTTTTAGTATTCTAATTTGACCACATATTCAATTTTAAGCAGTGGATTTCTTTGAATATATTCAAGAAGCAGGTGGCTGTTCATCTGATGCATGTGCTCATATTCTTGTTTGATTGCGTTAAAAATCTAATCACAAAATCTTTGAAGAGAATCAAACCACATGCTCATTTGGATAAATACTTTTCTTTCTCGCCGCAAAATTCTTGACTTCCTGCAAAATTAGTCACATGCAAAGACAAAAATCTCTCTGTCTTAAGCCAAAACTTTGTCATTTGATTCCTCTATCAATATGCAAACCATCGGAAGCATCCAGCAACTTTCTCATGCACAAATAAATGATAATTGGGTGGAAATCACATGAGTTTAAAATATCTCTGCACATTTTAATATGAGAATATTTCTGCATATTTTTAAACAATGACGGCATGGATTGCAGAAAGCATGTGATGCTGCTCTCACAATATTGCTTTTGTTGAACAGCCCATCTACTGAGTACACATAGAGGACACATGACCCCGTTTTATCCCTTTCTCGCACCACTCCAGCCAATATGGGCTCCTAATGTGTGATCAGATTAGCTTTCCTCCACCAGAAATTGGCTTCCCCTCCGTTTAATAACCAAGACGACCACTTAAAGGCCTGTACCCATCGATCTCAGGTGTGTTAGGGATATGGTCAGGGCCTCTAATGAGACCAAGGACCAATTTCAGCTCTCCATGGAGGATTATGAATAGAGGGGGAAACACAGGCCGGAAACAACCTAGACACCAAAGATGGGGTTCAACTCACCAGGGACGCCCTCTCAGACATCATATTTACATCTCTAATCCATCGCCTCTCGTTGAGGGCCGTGCGGTGGAGATTCATGGATTACTCTCTTAAAAATAAAGGTGCTTCACGATGCCATAGAAGAACCTTTTTGTCTAAATGGTTCCATAAAGAACCTTTAACATCTGAAGAACCTTTCTGTTTAACAAAAGGTTCTTTGTGGCGAAAGAAGGTTCTTCAGATTATAAAAAGGTAAGAAAGAGATGGTTCTTTAAAGAACCTTTGACTGAATGGTTCTTTGTGGAACCTAAAATGGTTCTTCTATGGCATCGCTTGAAGAACCTTTTGAAGCACCTTTATTTTTAAGAGTGTAGTCTGTATTTAAGGTAAAATATTCACTGGTATCTCCAAACAAAGCCTTGATTTGCAGTCTTTAAAATC